ACACACACACTTATCACCTTCTTGACCTCTCCAGTGGTCCTGATGCTGTCCTGTATGGTCTGTGGAGTGGACAGTAAGATGCCGGTGGGCTGAGACCTTGAAAAGTGCGTTTCAGATACGTTCTCGATGCGGGAACGCTTGGCCTCGAGAGTCTCCTGCTCCTGCTGAGCTGGGACGGCATGAAACTGTTGCTCATAACCATGTCTGCGCTCCGGCGGCCTGCAGGAGACGAAAGAGATATTATTATGCTTCACAAACTTCAGCACCAAACAATATTACTGAAAACAACACAAAAGAGTTTAATTTTTAACTAAATTAAATTAAAATACAATTAATTGATCTAAAAACAATTATTCGAGAATTGCAACATTATGCACTTTATATTCCAATCACATATTGTCAACCAAGAACTGCATTTGTCTGGGATTTGGAATTAGGAGCATCTGAACAAACAAAACTGTCAAACACAGACAGAAACTCAAAGGCTCAAGGGTTTAACAGAAGAAATTAGTATTGCATATAATATTTTTATTAATACTCCATTTTAAATATTACATTCATGTCATTCTACATCATACATTTATTTGTCAATGTGAATAATTGACTGACATACATAAATGGTAACAAATATATTAAATAGTTAATTGCAATAATTTATGACAATTATTTAATGGCCAAATCACGATAATGTTGTCAGATCTACATAGTATAACCCATTTCCAAGTTGTTCCCAAACAAAATATTCAAAGGAATCATCTATGGTGGGTTTATATCTGGCCCACCATAGATGACTTCACTGACAATTAGGCAATATCGCGTTCATAATCGCAGATGAATCACATTCGATTATGAACGCGATATTGCCTAGCTTGTCAGTGAACTACGGCTCTGTGTATTAAATGCTGCTCCATCTGAAAGCAGGTGATGGAGATTTACTAATTCACTAATCACAGAACAGGCTTTACTGACGAGATGCGCATGACAATCGCATGCGATTAATTGCACAGCCCTAGTTAATATGATATTATTGGTTAATATATTTACTCTGCTCACACATTTAAGAAAGAAAGTATGGTCATTTTCATCATACATTATCTTTAAATAGGGCAGAAATAAAATTAGGAGCATAGCATTATGTCTCAAGTGGGTGGGGACAGTTGTGTCACCTCTCGGTCCCAGCAGGGTGGAATTCAGATAGTAGTGAAGGCCTGCGGCGCTGCTGGTCTTGCAGGGGGGTACGATAGTCAGGTACCGGAAACTCCTAAACAAACACAGACACACACATCAGATAGGAAGCACTAGGCAAAACAAAAACACGAGGACCTCAAGGATGAGGGCTCAGAAGCCTTAAAGACATGGGCAGAAAGACAAAGAGTGTGTATGTATGTGAGAGAGAACGAAAGGGATAAAGAGATGAAAAAAAGCACATTATGACAAGATAGCCTCCCCAGACAGTCAAGAGCACAACAACACACACACACACCTCTGCTCCTTCAGAAATGTATAAGTCTGTTTTATGTTCTAGTAAAACATGCCATTATAAAAAATGGACATAAAGCTGCCTGTAACACATTCACTGCTAAAGATGAGATGATCATCAAACCCTCAATTCATCATTCCATTAGAAAACCACAGACCCCAGCAGAGCAGGAAAGAGACAAACCAAAGCTACCATGTGTGAGTCAGTTCTTGAAGCTGGTTTACTCTCAGACTAAGGTTCAGTTTTAAAGAACCGGGCAAAATCAGGGCAAAGGACATTCTTTGAAAACATCAAGAATTATTTACATTATTAATGTGGCAATATCAAGCGTGATAATGTGTTATAACCTTAGAATTATTCAAGACAAATTTACTTCCAAAACTCACCAGTCATGGGTTCTTTGAATGACTAGTTTGTCTAAATTAGGCTGGCTATGGTCATGCATATGGATATGGTCAATCGTACACTTATCAGATACATTTCTCAGCAACACATGACCATTCAAAAGTTTGGGTTTTGCGTTTTTGCAAATAAAATCTCTTATGCTTACCAAGACTGCATTTATTTGTACTATTGTGAAACACTATTACAACTTGAAATATTAAAATTACAACTGTTTTGTATTTTAATATATTATTCCTTTGATTGCAAAGCTATATTTTCAGCAACCATTACTCCAGTCTTCAGTTTCATATGATTCTAATATGCTGATTTGATGCTCAAAAATAATATAATTATATAATATTTCTTATTATCAAGATCAAACTGTTGTGCTGCTTAATATTTTAATGGAAAACATGTCACCTTTGATCAATTTAATAAATCCTTGTTGAATAAAAGTATTTGTTTTTTTTGTTTTTTTTTTAAATTGATAGATGTTTAGCAAAGGCCTTCAAATGAATAAATAACAGATATTTAATAAAGAAATGTGGTAATAGCTGTAGTGGTGGTGCTTAAAGTTGTCATGCTAAATCTCTCTCAGAAAAGTTACTTCACTAAATCCATCCCCTTTAATCCACCTTATTTTTAACAGAAGAGCGAGCACAGCCATTTGTAACTTAAGGCTTCTGGCTTCCAGTTATTACAGCTGTAAAAACAGTCTGTTATGTAGCTTGATAATGCAAACTGGTATTTGTTATATTATTTTAAAATATTATTGTAATCATAAACACACACAATCCATGTTAATTTTAGGTCTGTACAACTAATAAAAAAATAAAATAAAAAAAATTCCCAACAAGTATTTTAGTGTTTTTAAGTTTCAGAGAGCTCTGCTTTAAGATGTTGTCAGAATACATGAAAACATGTCCAGAGTTTCATATTATAAAATGAGGCACAGTTTTGTTTGGCTAAATGATGACAACGCGTTCACAGTTGTTTGAGTTGGCTGTGGTACAGCAGGATTACTGCAAGATCTGCTGGTATGAGGTCACCTCACTGAAATAGACAAGACATCAGATTTCCTCTAGAAGCCACTCACACTTTATGACCATCTGTGTTAGAGATGCTTCTAAAATGCTAACAACCCCAGAACAAACATGGCCATGTCCATGTCTGCGAACAGGAAATGTGTAAATAATTGAGTAATTATTTATAAAAAAAAATATATATATATATATATAAAAAGTGCAGAGAAGAGAGAGAACAGCTGGAGTCTGTTTATTTCTGCTTCTCTAGCTCTAAGGAATGTACTACAGTGATAACCAAATTGATTTATAATGTTGAGGCCCAGCCATTTCTGGCCTACTGTCATCTGAGACAGAGGGGATGTTGAGGAGAAAATAAGCATAGAGGGGCATTCACACATACACCGATTTGTAACATCATTGAATTTCAAAGAGAGCTGGCGATTTCCAGAGACATGAGCAGCAGAAATAGCTGGCAATGCATTTACCTTTATGGCAATTAGTACCACTATCAACAGTAGGGCTGGGTTTTGACACAAATTTCACGATTCGATTGTCATTCACAAGCTTGCGATTCGATTACCAATTTGATTCAATATCGATTATTTTGGATATATATCAGGTACAGTACATGTCAAATTTTCTCAAGGAAAAAAATCTCTCAACTATTGCTGTAAAATATACATGAGAGTCAGTTGGTACTACATTACTATAATATTGAAGGTTAAAATTGACTGATTTGTTAGGCTTGAATTGCTTAAATTACACTTAATGAAGTTTTATAATAAAAGTTACAATTACATAATATTTCTACTTCAATTTGTTTGTTTTTTATATAAACATAATGGTGGCTGTCATAAAATCTTGATGTATGTATTCAAACATAAATTAAACATTGAAGAACAGTAAAATTTATAATGAATATGTTATATGGTGCATATATTTAGCAAAATGCCCCTCTCTACAGTTTATTTGTCTATCTGACTAATGAGTTTATGGTCACAGAATATGTTTGTTTCTGAGGTAAATGTGGCGTTACGTGACATTGTTTACAAGCCGTTATATTGACGTCTTTGCGCGGCTGAAAAGCACAATGCTTATTGCGATTTATTGGATGGGAAGTGCCCTTCAATGTTCTGTCCATTAACTGAACACAGGCTAGACTAATCGATTCTTGGGATTTAAGAATCGATATTTTTTACCCAGCCCTAATCAACAGTAGTGAAGATACTGGAACAAACTTGATCAGTATCTCCTGAGAGATACTATTGTTGAGTGTAAGAAAAGACAGGAAATGCTAATGTAAAAATCACTGTTCTATGGTTTACTGGTGCCATAAACAAATCATTCTGTCTTTCTGTCCAAATTTCTTTGGCTAAAAGAACTTTTAATGGGTGCTATATACAGTGCCTGATTAAAAATCGCTTGAATTGCTTAGAAATGTAATCTTATTACATTAATTACTGCATTTTAATTAGGGCTGTGCCAATTAGTGTGATAACGACAGTGGTGGAGCGCCTCTGCGTGGTACAGCGAAACACATTTTTGCACATATAAAGTTTTTTTGACCTAATTATTAGGACTCTAGTGAAGTAACAAAGCTTAAACAAAATAATTGATTAGCAGCCAAATGTTACATTGCAACCATGAAAACAACTGGATTCATGTCAAGAAAAATTAAGCCATACGCAGCTTCGTGTTCAGTTTTGCAGACTGGTCACTCAAATTGTTACAGAAAGCATTGTTAGTTAATTTTTTTTTCATTTGGTAAATAAATTTAGATACTAAATTTCTCATGCTTTCCATGTTTTAATGCATTTTAATGCACTTTTAAAGTTTGAATCTCAGTAAAAGCATAATTTGTATATTGTGAATACATTGTATGTATACAGTCATGTAGGTTATTCCAATCCAAACTTCCAATCAAATTTCCAAATTTGCAATCAAATGCTAACTTAGTCTATACTTAGTGTAAATGTTAAATTATTTTCAAATTTTTAAGCATAAAAATTGTTACATTAAGTAAGTTACATTAAGTATTGTTACATTAAATAAGATGTTATTGTCTGATAAGGCATTACAAACAGCCATTCTGTGGGATCAGATCCAACTCAACGGGTGGACTGAATTGCTCATGACACAAGCAATGCATCCCATTTGAGGTCAGATTTTCAAACGTTGTGGGCCCATTAATAACTTGAGATCATCCAGCAGCAGAAATGCTTACTACAAATAATAATACATCCACTCTAGCAATAAAACCTCTGTATGTGTGAACGCCCCATGACACAGCACTCGCTATACAGAGGTGAACAATAAAGTGGGTTGGTCTAGCTGTTAGGAGAAAGGAGGTAAGCTGTGTTAAGTAATTAACCTTTTTGTGACATACATCTCACTATTAGAGAGGAAACAAGAGCTGAGGGAGAGAGATAGTTGGATATCTGCATGTCTAATGTGGGTTGTCGGTATTAACATCCTACTCCAGGTATTGACATTTCAGACTAAATAGAGGATGTATAAACCCCAACATGCCTGTTTCCGGTTTATAAACTTTACAAAACACCCTTCTTTATGGATGATTTTTCCTAACAAAATTTAACAACAAAAATTCAAATGCTTAAAAAGATCAAATAATAAATGCTCAAATGATAAATCAAATGCGATTTCATTTCCTCATTCGGGGAAGCATGAACTGCATCAAAAATCTAATTTAAAAAACATTTGTATTTGATATCTAATTTTCATTATCAAGCCAGTAAAAACCTGACATAATGAAATCTATCATTCAAAGCTTAAAGAATAAATAAAGTGCTCATATGCTCAAATCGACATCGCAAATGGAAAATCAAATGCTCAGATGATAAATCAAATGCTCAAAGGGAACCGCAAAAGGCAACTGATAAATCAAATGCAAATGAGAAGTGTCAATCAAGTATCATGGGCGGAGCCTGCCTCAACACTGTTTACACTCCGACTGATGCACGTGAGCAAACAGAGAGTACTCTTATTTACCTATTTGCCACTGTACCTTATATTTTATTCCTCTCTTTTAGTCCGTAATGGAGCGCGTGTACCATGGCACCAAGCTCCTGCTGGTAGAAGGGGATACTCCCTGCATTTAGTATAAAAACTAAGGAATTATATATTGTATTAGGTGCCAAAACAATAGAAGGAGACCCGGGTTGCACTGTCTGTTCGTTCACATGCATCTATCGGATTGGCAGCTGCCTTTAGCGGTGGCAGGTTTTCGTGGCAGCTCCCCCTGCCAAGATTTTACTCACTCTCTGTGAAATTACACCATGAAAAGCCACAGTGCTCGTCGTTGTCACCGAACTCTTCTGTCTCAAAGCTCCGCCCACACTAGTTGATTGACACTCCTCATTTGCATTTGAGTCTGTATTTATATATTCTGTGGAAGGCGTAGGGCCAAGAAATGTTCATCCAATCAAAACGCTCGGTCCAATATGCTTTCCTACCTGCCTGTCAACGTATGTATTAGCATACCTCTGCGCACCACTGTGTTCCGATCGATATGATCCCTACACAGTGTTCATTGCTCCCTACTCCCTGAGCAGGGGAAATGCGTTGAAGTTTACTTCACTTCGGAACATGGGCTGGAATGTGGCCTATTGTAGTAATGTTGTCTTTGGTATTCTGGTCTGTGAGCGTAAATGCGTTCAGGGGGCGTGGCTTTGGACGGCGATTGCAGGGAGGGTGGGACGT